AACCAAGACACTGTACTTAGCCACCATCTACTGCCAAACCTCAACATTTTTTAGTATTATTGTGGATGAATTTTTCCTGTCTGTGGACTGCTGGGTTCTGTAATAAGGCAACACAGTTATGACATTTGTTGAAAATAAACTCTATTTACTTTGACTTAATTATTTTTATTTTCATCATTTTCATGTTCTTCGTGCATCCTACCAATTTCAAATAGTGTAACTCTAGGCTTAAGCGGCTACGCTTTTTCTCATAAGGAATAGCTGCAGATAGGACTAAGAAGTTCCCCATAGATTTACTTTGTCAGTGAAAGACAGCTTGACACATATCTTTACTGTCTCTGTTTCTGGAGATGAATGTTATCAAAGCTGCTATGGGTATGAAGAGTCATGAGAACAAATTGTATTCTTGGGAGTGGAATCTGTAACTGATAACATGACTTTAGCCCGGCCCAGGGGACACTGGGCAGAGCTGTATCTCGGGGAGGGAACGGGGCAGTGGCATGGAATACAAGACCAGCTAAGAGTCTGAATGTTATTCTGGGTCCCATGTGGTCTAGGAATGGTGCGAAGGGCCTGTAGAGGGGCAAGGAGCATATATGGAAGGCAGGCCGTTAATTCCCGTCACTAACTGACTTCCAGGCATGCAGTAGACACTGTCACATGGAAATAGGGTTTCACAGTGACACCTGTTCCAAGGGAAGAGAAAGGATAAACGATTTTTCTTGACAATTAAAATTTTTTTATTGTTATCAGAACCAAAATATCAACTCAAAATACAATGCAAAGGTGGTAGTATCAAGGAACAGCAGTCACCCTTCAGTAAAGCGAAATGCAGAGAAAGCCAAAAGCGAGTGTGTGTGAATGGAGGGTGAACGCAGTGTTACAACCTCAAAAAGAGCCGTGTTGATTTCATGGAAAAATAAAACATTCATATTCAATTCTAATGTGTTTTAAGTATTCCGTGTTATTTTAATCCTTAAAAATGTTCATCCTGTGAAATTTTGTTTTACAATTAGCACACACGGCACATGTTGTCACGTGTTCACATAGAAATCTTCTTTCTCACAGGCAGAGTTTCCCTTTGGCGCCCATTTTGCCTGTCCATACAAAATAACTCATTAAAAAAATTCTAACTAGGATGTATACTGAATCTGAAAATATAACATATAAAATGTCAAAAAAAGATAGCTGTTTGCATTTAAGCTCCACATGTCAAAAGTCTCAGTAACAAACAAGAAAGGTCAATTCCCTTATTAATATCTATAAAGTCACTTAGAAAGTTTCTGCTAATTCTTTTAAGCATGGATATGATTGGCCTTTCTTTCAAATTAAGGTGTAAGCTACTTCCCAAAACAAGTGAAAAGTGTCAAGATTGAATGAGACTTGTCCACGTTTTTCACTCTTGACCATGGGCACCGTCACAGAACCGAACTCCCAAAAATAAATATCCCTTTATGGGTAAAATCTTAAGACCCATGAACTCATAATCCATGGGTTTTGTTCGGTGAAGAACTGGCTATGTGACCAGGTGCCACTGAAGGAGGGCCAAAACTATCCCGAGTCATCTCAGGACCAAACCTGATTTTATAAAGAATGGAGCCAAGCCCCCAAACCATACAGCAGCAGCCTGGTTCTTATTTACAGAACGAGGCCTGAGCATACCTGCGACCCAGGTGATGTAGGGCCCATGGAGCTCAAGGTGAGGAGGGAATGCCAAGGCTTGGACTGTGTGCCCCAGTCTCCTGATGAACAGCACCCCCAGTCTCCCTCCTCCCATGCATCTCAGAACACTCAGCCCGGGGCCTGGGTCCCTGGTCAGGTTAGATGACCCCGTTTCTGTACACTTTCCCCAGGTCCTTAGTTCCTCACCCTACATTCTGGAAAGAGCTGCTATGAGAATTGGGTGGGGGATTCTCTGGTCTGTCTGTGACTGATGGTCAGAGACACTGCTCCAACGTCAGAAAAAAACCTCTTACCCCAAATTATATAAACATACTCTGCATAGTTTGAATGTCTTCGTAAAGTATTGAAAACACCTGGAGCTGCACAGTGCAGCGCCGCTGACATGGACACACACGCGTCTCCGCAAGGCACGTCGGGTCCTTGGGGCGAGCCTAGCAGCTCCTCCCCTTTGTCTGTGGCGGGGGCCTCACAGATGAGAGCTGGACACGGGGGTTTTCTTTTTCCGGCCACAATGATAAGAATGTGGGCTAACAAAGCAAGGGAGAAAAGAGAAAGACCTTATGAAAGACTCTACAACTAGTTAGAAGAAACCCCTCTTGTTACTATTCAATATCATAGTTGGTTTTGATCAAATACACTCACGCATAACTTCTCATAAAAACCCAACTCAGAGGGAACAACAATAATTGTCTCCACGCCCATCTCTTACCTGTTTTCAGACCTTAGCCAGGGTTAATTAGCATTATAGCATATAAGTTCTTTATGAATTTCTACTGGTTTGGAAATGAGCTGATAATGTGAACAAATTATGCTTCATTTAACCTTCTGGAATATTCTCCTTTCTCCTGATCTTCTTACACTGCTGTGATTGGGGTGACAGGATTGGACACCCCCATCCCGACTCTGATACGAACCAAGACACTGTCCGTGATGATAACAATTAGCAAAATGTTTCTCCTTTCTGGATGAAGCAAGAACGTACTATAGAATAACACTCTAGAGGGTTTCACACAGTTTTAATACCTTTTGTAGATATCTTTTCTTGACTTAATGTTAGCTTACAAGATGGCAGGGCTTAAGGAGAATTTCCCACCTCACCCCAAGTTTCAGGTAGGATTGTTCTAGGGTGAAATGTAAGTAGAGCTTTGGGTGAGAAGTAAGCCATCACTTCACTTCCAAACAAGCACAGGGACCTGGGGTACGTCATGAGACAAACATCCACCTGTCCTCTGATTGGCCAGTCCTCTTAGCAGTCAGTCACCAGGATAGGAGCTGGGGGCTTGCTTTTGAGTACACCGTTAGGCCTTTCCTAGGAAGGTTCTGGGATAATTAATCGATCCTATTTTTCAAAATAGCATCAAGAAACAGGACAATGAAATCCAATGAAACCACTGTGTAAGTTTTAAAGGTCTGGTAAAATAATCGTGAGACACTTGGCAATGGTTGCCTGCCTCTGAGGAGGGGGATGATACCTCACTCAGTCAAAGAGCTTATGAAGAGAGAAATTTCCAATCCTACCAGGGAGATACTCATTATTTAAAAAATTCATAAGCAAGTAGGGTACAGCATAAAATAATAAAACCACACAAAACAATGGAGTCACACCTGAGCACCAGACAATATCAACCCTAGTGGTAGCACGTAGAAATTGGGAAAACTTTCCAAGCGTAGATTTCCTAGTACATGAAAAAGTGAGGGTAGAACTTGTATTACACAGTGCTGTTTTCAGTAATAAAAGAAATGACATATGTGAAACCATCAATCACATTGGTACCTAAAGAAAATATAAGTTTCTACTCTTTTCCCAATCTACAAATGAAGAAAACACCGACCATGAGGTCACTACCATTTCAGTCTTTTTATAAATATTTTTGATACATTTTTTTTTAATTGAGAGAGCCACACCCTTAATTTCTAGGCCATTATTTAAAAGGATGCTCTTTATTTTTTAAATTAGCTGTTAAGTTAGTTTTTTTTAATTACACAAATAATGCAAGACCATGTATTGTAATTTTTTAGAAATCAGACAATAAAGAAGTGTGTAGAGTATAAAAGTAATATCTTCCCTTCCACACACCACTTCCCTGTCTGTTTCCATCCCCACAGGGTATGTATTATTATTTTAGTTATTTTCCTCTAAATTCTTATATTCATATTCCCTCTTTCTGCCTTATTAATGAAATATTTCAAACAGAGCAAATTAGAATTCGCAAAATGTGAATTTTTGATGATATAACAAAAATATATTTCATATTTATATATTGGTTGGATATTAACTTTCCCTGCACACCATGTAGACATCAGTCTCCAAAATTCAATCTCTTCCTCTCTCTCTCCCCCACTTCTTTCTATCTGTTTACCTGTCTCTATCATATATCATCTGTCTATCATCTATCTTTCCATCTAGCTACAGAGAGGAATTTCTATTGGTTTTAGTTTTAAATAAATACTATATAACACATGGTTTAGTGACTTTTTACTTTGTGTTCCATCTTGGAAATCTTCCCATGTCATTCCCCATAGATACACCTCAATTCTTTAAATCTCTGTATAGTAATCCATATCATGAATATGTTATCATTTTCACAATCAGTTGCCCATAGATGCACATTGAAGTTATTTCTAGCTTGCCAGCTCATCAATCCCTTTCCTGTAGATTGCCTCTGAGTTTTAACACCTTACTTGGAAATGTTTCCCTCTTCATACCCATATGTTAAAAATAATATATATTCTTTTATAGCTTTTTTTTTTTACATTAACCTTTTACATCTACTTTGAATTTTTTTTGTGGAAGGTGTGAGATGGGGATTTGATATTATTTTTCCCCATGGGTATTCAGTTTTCTCAATACCAACCATTTCCCAGTGGTTTGTTTGAAATACTGCTTTTGTTTGAGATGTGCTGAATATCATACAATACCTGCGAAGTTTTTCTACATCATCCACTGTCTCTGGCAAGGCAATGCCCTTGGTTTCAGGCAAAAGCATCACAAGGCCACCGCAGACAGATGCCAGGATACCTACGGAATCAGGAGAGGCGTCAGCCACCAGGAACACACAGCCCGCCCCTTGGCCCTCTGGCTCACTCTGGAAGCATCTGTGCTCACTTACCTTAACTAGCGACCCTCTGGTGACCCTAACCAGCTCCCCCGTTTTCCTCTACCACAATTTCTTCACATTCCTCTAACCCTGTGCAGTCCCATTGCCCCTGACTCCAGGTATACATTTGTTCATTCACTATTGAACAATGATTAATTGAGTGCCTAGTAAGTGCCAAGCATCCAGAGAAGACCTCATCTCCTACTTCAGGGGGGAAACAGAAGCCACTAGAAGGGAGCCCCTTCAGCTTCCGTTTAGTGACTAGAATGTCACTGCCCCCCCACTCCCATCCTCCTCTGCCATGTTACACCATAAGACTTGTCCCCACTTCTGCCCACCAGCCGTCTCTTAGTCTTTTCTGGGCTTCTCACTATAGTGGTTAATCCTCTCTTCCAACCTTTAGCCCACCGGTGGAAGCACTGAAACATACTCAAATCTCTCATCTTTAAGGGCCCTTCTATCAACCTCAAATTACCTTCCAGTTACCATCCTCCCTTATTCTGTTCTTCAGAGTTGAAGTTCTTAAAACATTGTCCCCTCCTATTTTCTGCACATGTTATTCTAGTGGTATGCTGGTGATTGTCTCCAGAAAAGAAAGCTCTGATTTGTAGCATCTGCCAATTTCCATAGTGTGAATACTCCCACCATGTGGACATTTCAAACTACCGATGTGACATCGCTGAACGAAGCACTGGGAAGCGGGGTGCAGTAGCACGCTGTTGTATAGGGTTCCCACCATAAGGATACGGAAACATAAATAGCCTCTAGAACACAGATAACGGTAAATGTAAATGAATTAGGAACTGATGAGTTTTGAGTAGTCATTATCTGTTTTTAGTACATTTTATATACTTTAGCTTTTAATAATGGCTCTGTTTAACACCTGCCTCAAACATTCTTGAAAATTCAACAGTTGGCCCTGGTGGGCCGTGCGAGTCAGCTCCAGCACCACTGTGAGTCATGTCCCAGCTCCAGTGTGGGTTCCGCCCAGGGTGCTCCCTGCCACCCTGCTCCAGGCAGATCACCAGTTGCCGCCTGCTGCCATGGGCACTGCTGCTCAGTCCTTGCTGCTGGGGAGGTGCGGGTCTCCCCACCTCCACCCCGGCCTCCCTGCTGCGTTCTCTCTGGCTTCCCTCCGGCCCCGCTCACATTCCTTCTCGCTCCCTTGAGCCACTCCCCTCCCTTTGCCTCTCCTGTCACTTTGTCACTCCTCACGGCTCTGTCTTGGGTCTCTTCGTCCCTCTCACTCTGTCCTATATCCTTAAGGGGTCCTGGTCACTCCCAGAGTGCCCGTGGTTATGTTCACTCACATGCCTTCCAAATTGTTATCAATAAGCTGCACTTCTCTCCTTAGCTCAGCCCTGTCCAAGCCTGCTGGTTTCTCATGGTTTGTTATAGGCCCTTCATACCACAAAGGGCCCAAACAGAGTTGCTCCGTGTCCTCCGCAGACCTGCTCCTCTGGTGGCCACTAAACTCGTGTCTGTGCTGTCATCTAGAGTTGTCCCAGGCAGGAATTGGGGCTTCCCATCTGCTGCTCCCACTAGCCCCCACCCATCAATCATCCCGTCTTGTTAACTTGACTTCTACTGGGTTGTCGGAAAAGTCATGACATATTTTTTCTCTGTTTCTCACTGCAAAAATGCGTCATGACTTTCCCGACAACCCAGTAATATATGTTTTGAGTCTATGCTCTCCACAGCACTCCCACTGTCATCACCTTCAACCCAGCCATTACGGTCTCTTACCTGACTACAACCACATTCTTTTAATTGTCTCGCCCCTAGCATTGTCCCCCTCCAATTCATTTGCATATCTGCCACCATAGTCATATATTTCTAAAATGCGAATCTCACTGTCAACCTCACCTGCAAACTCTGCAATAGCTTCCCACTGCTGTTTGGGTAAAGAGTAAACCCTTGGTGGTCTGGCCCCAGCCCACCTCCCAGCTTCGTCGCCAGGTCCCACCTCGCACGTGCGTGGCATTCTGTCCTTTAGCCACCTGGCTGTTGCCGCAGGCCTTCCCACTGCCTGTGGTGCCAGCCCACCCTTCCCACGTGCATAATTTCTACTCATCTTCTGATCTCAACCTAGACATTCTTCCTTCCTCCCTGACCTCTCCTCAGCTCAATGGGGTTAGCATTCCCAGTGATGTGCTCTCATAGCACCCTTTCCTTTCAGCATTTATCACACTCTGAAGCGACTGATGGCTTGGACAATTGGCTCTCTCTGTGCAGGAACAGCCTGCAGCAGTGGCCAGCCTACCCAGCACTCACTGAAGGCCAGGCCACAATCTTGAATAAACGGGGTCCTAAACCACTCACTCCATCTTGGTTGAACTGTGGCCCTCACCTTCCTCTCTCACGCTGGCTACAGAATCAATGCTGATTATCAGTTCCCGTGAAATAATTTGAAACGATCTTTTGTTGGTTTAAAAGCTCACTTTATATCCCTAGCACTGTTAGGAATTTTGCATTCCTCAGCTTGGATGTCCTCATGGACTCAACCTTTTCATTGTGATTTGAATTGCTGAGCAATGAATGAAAAAGGAAGTGGAGGTGGAGGGAAGTTAGATGAGGCATCCTCCAGTCCTGTATGCATCCTTTCTTGCTGAGGACTGGAGAGGGCGTGAGGTCCAGGCAGAAAGGTTGGGACAGCACTTGAGAAGCACTGGACTGAAGTACCTCACGGCCCCTCCCAACACTATGATTCTGCCCTTTCATGAGTTCTAGGAAGATTGGAGGTAAGAAGGGGGGGGGTCTGACCCTGAGGGGCAGCAAAGAGGTTATGTTGGCTGTGTGAGGCATGTGTCCTCTGTTCTTTCAACATCACATGTTTCGCATCAAAGCAAATAAAGATGTGATATGGATATAGAACACTTAATACAATTGGCTTTTAGGCTTCTTTTAATCAGACTAAAGGTCCAATTTGGTCCCCTGAAAATTATGGGCCTTTAATTATCCCAATTGTCATAATAAAGTTTTGTAGTAGTTGACTTTAATTCAGAACCCGAACAAAGAATGCTAAATTGAACACTGTTCCTCACATGTATATAAAAATATACAGTACATTTAAATCATTTAGAATGTCCCATTTCATTGTAATCAGATTGGCTCCCCAAAACTGAAACAGTTGATATAAAAATATTAAGTGCATATCATTAATATAAAACCTAATAATGTGGACGAATGCATTTAAGAATATCAAGTGAGTTCTTACCAAAGATGATAAGAGGCAGTTCCAGCCAAATGGCCGCTAGCCGGAAGAGCAGAAAAGGGGCTATGATTCCCCCAAAATCACATAAACCTGAACAGAGCGAAACTCCGAAGTTTCTGTAGATACAAAAAAAACCAACAACATTGTTTTAAATGAAAAATATTTACGTAAATTCAAGATAAGCAAACTAAATAACAAAGAAATTATAACAGTATCTTTCCGCTATGGTTTTTAATTTTGCAAACAGCTGCTCTCTCATACCCTAAGCAAACCATTTGCATTCGGCACCATTCCACATCTGGGGGGAACACTGAGTCCCAGCGAGGCTAGCAAGGCGGTCTACAAGGCTGGGACTCATTCTGCCATCAGCAGCTCATGACCAGCCAGCGCCACCGCCACGCCACTCTGGCACCCTAGCCAGACAGTGAGCTGTGCCGTGGACATTATCACAGGAAAGGAGGCCACCACACACTAGCGCCTGAACACTGTTCCATTTTGTCCAGCGCTAACTGGCTGCTCACAGCCATGAGATGTGGAGTGTGGTCAGAACCGAGGCTGTGGACTGTAACCTGGGCGTTGCTGATGAAGACAGGCTTAACCCCCACCTAAGCAAGCGCACAAACTAGCCAGATTTTCTGATTCCAAGTCCAGTGCCTTTCCACTAAGCCATGGCTGTGTCTGAAGATACTGGCACAAGAAATATTTCTGTCACTAAATATGGAGGAAAGCAACGTAGAAAGCAGCTACAACTCAAAGCATATTGTCTTTACTGGCTGAATTCAGTCCAGGCTAATATGTCACCAAGCTAAGGAAACTATTTCACGGTCTTTAAGTCAATTCAAAACATTTGGCTGCAGAATTACTTAGAAGAAACCATGACATGTATGTTGGAATTACCGTAATGTTGTTGGGTACAATTCTGAATTTACCAAATAAACAATTTCAAAGGCCATGGTTATCCCCAGTCGTCCCAGGGTAGCAACCGTGGTCCTCAGCCATGGTATCCCTGCAAACACAGAAAGCGTGGGAGGCAAGAGTTAGGGGTCTTTTCAACAAAGTTTTAAAAACTTTGAAAGGCATGTGCTTAAGTGTTCTCCCACCCCTTCGTCTTCCCAAATTTTAAGCACAAATGATCAATACCTTCTAATATTGTAGCCAAATTTCAACAGCAACAACCCCCACCAGGATGCTAGCTGATGTTTCGGGGTGCCAGCTGCCTTTCTGAGCAGCGTTAGATTATAGATACACTCAAGAACCATTTGTTGAGTGGCCACAACATTGAAAACAACATTCCGTGCCCAGCACCCTGGCCTTGTTTCTGGAAGGCAGCCTTCGCGTGTGCCCCGGAGAACCATCACCACCGTCTGTCTGCTGCCCGTTTGTCCTTCCTGTTCAGGCCCCTTAGCGATAACACACAGAACAGCTGTCCCAACAGACCAGGAATGATCCAGAAACAAAGCTGCCTTTGGTTTCTAGGGAGCAGCCATGCTTTGAGGACTGGGACTTGGGGGAGGGGAGCATCTATGCCATGTGTTGTCACTAAAATATACGCCACTCACGATCTTCCTCATCCCAATCTTGCTACTTCCCCCATGAAATTATCAAAGAATCAGAGGAGCCTGATTCTTAAATACTGGTTGGCTCCTTGATTTAAAAATGAGCTGTTTTAACCCTCAGTTCTTCCTCTGTGTCTCTGAGACTATCTCCATCCACTTCTCCCATCCATTCAGCTCCTTAGAATCCACGTATAAGTGAGATCATATGATATTTGTCTTTCTCTGACTGACTTATTTCACTTAGCATAATGTTCTCTAGTTCCATCCATATTGTTGCAAAGGGTACTATTTCCTTCTTTATAGCTGAATAATACTCCATTGTGTAGATGTACCAAAGTTTCTTAATCCAGTCATCTACCGATGGGCATTTTGGTTGTTTCCAAGTCTTAGCTATTGTGAATAGTGCCGCAATGAACATAGGGGTACATATATTTTTTTGGATTAATGTCTTGGGATTTTTTGGATAGATACCTAAGAGTGGGATTGCTGGTTGCTAGTAGGGAGGGGGTGGGGATGAAGGAGAAGGGGAAGGGATGAGACAATACAATTGGGTAATTGTAATTTGGCCGCAGGGATAGAAAAAGACAGTTCGAGGAATACAATCAATAATGTTGTAAGCATTTCTTAGGGGGCCAGATGGACCCATGTCCTTTTGGAGAGTCCACTTCATAGTTGATGTAGAGGCCTGACGACCGCATTGTATTCCTGAAACTGATGTTGAATAATACTGTATGTCAACGATAATTATATATACATATATAACCTCGGGACATGGAGTAGAGTGCGGGAACGGACTCAATGGAATTGTAATAGATAAGCATGATATCGGGGGTGGGAGGGCAGTGGATGGGGGGAGGGGGGTTGTTACTTTGTGAGGGTGAAAAGGGTAACTATTGCATTGTTCTGTACACCTGAAACTAACAATAAAAAAATTTTAAAAAAAATGAGCTGTTTTAGGGCTGCTCTGGTTGTACGAGGAAACTCTTTAATGGGAAACGCCAAGTGTTCTTTATTAAACATCTTCTTTCTTTTGTGTTTTAAGGGAAGAAGGAATAAACCATTTCCATTCTAAAAAGTCAATGATCCAGACTTCTCGAGCTGTGGCGTTTATGCCGTCCCCTCCTAGAGGACTGGGTGTGAGGGCACGTGACCGCATGAACAAGAGGGTACCCGGCCTCCTGACCAAAGCGAAGGGCGTTCAGCACATGTCTGACTTCCATCCTAGAAAATGAAACCTGTCCCTTTTATACTCATACTTATTTATGCTCACTCAGCACTGAATGCCCCTTTTGTCACCTAGACTTATTGCACTTTTCCTGAATATACAATGATGGGGTAGAAAAGTAGGCACGGGTGAGGAGTTGAAAGAAGAGAATCAAGCTCAATAGATTTGCGCATGTTCTTGCTAAAGAATGTTTAACAAATCAAAAACTGTAAAGCCCACTAAATAAAACAATTGCCTAGGAGGGCAAGCAGAGAAAAAGACGGTTCAAGAGTCCAGATCATTGCTGGGAGGCCCCAGTTGATGACGTTTAGGTTGCAAACTGGCCGTACGTGATGTTTTTCTCAGATGAGAACATCTTAAGCAGCTCTCACCTTAACAGTTACATCACAGAAGGAGGAATATCAGGGCTGTGCTGATACACTGGGCCACCATCTGCTCTGGCACAGAACAATTGTAAACAAGTGTTTTATTTAGGCTGTATTTTTTCATGAAGGCTGGGGAGGGAGAGTAGGAAATGCATTCCACCCCTTCCTTTGGTGAGCAGGTGGTACGGGGCCAGGTGCCCGGGAACGGAATGTGGGAGCCATTGCCCAGATTCTCTGGGTCCTGGCCCAGCTGGGCAGCCTCCCTTTGCTCTCAGGCTGCAAAGAAAAATGTTGCCTGCTAATGTGGAAATAACTTGATTATCCAAGTTAGGCTCTTTCTTAAATTATAGGGTTTTTCTACTGAATCAAGATTGCTCTATTAGTGAGTCACACTGACAACTTCAATGACAATTTAAGTTTACAACTGAGGCTAGGACAGTTGGCTAGAAAGAACTCACAAAAACCAAGAAATCAAATTATGCACACATACATGAAAAACACATGGCTAGCTCAGTGAGTACAGCTAACTAGTTAATTCAGAAAAACGCTCAGAAAATGCTGTCAAGTTGACACCCTTGAGAAGATACGGTTGATCCTACATGCAGCAGATCCTCAGGACATGCTGACCTTAATCTGAAAGACCCTCAACTCATTCCAAGCAGTAGAAGCCAGTAGTTAACCACACTTACACCAGGACAGAGCTACTGTGGAAGTGTGTAACAGAAGACCCAAAGGCACTGCACTGTTTATCAACTAAAGGGTGAAATGAAAACAAAACAATGTATTAGAAAGTGTAAATGACATGTGACTATTACATATGCACACAAAACCTTGTGGTCATCCCAGTAGTGTGCCAAGTTCATGGTGGAGTGGCAATAGATCCCTTTTGATCAATGACCAAAACACCATAAGACAATTTTAAAATAAGGACTGAAGCTGAATCTGTCTTCCACAGAGTCATGAAAACACAGAGAAAGAGGGTCCCTCTTACCCAAACTGCGAGGTTTGTAACCATCCTAAATAAACTCAAATTAAAGATGGCAGACGGGGATGGATAAAGAAAGCTCTTTATTTTTCAGACTTTGATTAGAGTTCAAAAATTCAGATCAAAAGCACTGAGTCTTAGATGAGGATATCTACAGTCAGGAAGACTATTTATTTTTCCAGAACTTCGTTCTTCAGATCATGAAAAGTTGTGTGGAGTGGAGGGAAAGCCGGTTAAACTGTTGTCTGTGAGATAATTTTACAGCTGATCCCTAAAAGGCTAATGGTCATTCCCCACAGGAGTGTTGTCCTGTGGACGACATCGAAAGTGACTGAGAGGAAAAGTATTTCAAATGTTAGCTGAGCAGCCCTAGTAACCAAGTCCCAAAGCTCCTCAATGTGGATCTAAGGACCATCAACTCCAGTGAGGAACCTCTGTGAGTATTCGGTACTCACAGGGAACATTAGGGATTTGAAACATTCTTGCCAATCATGATGGACCCGTGACTATAAAAGCAGCCGAATCTGCAGAATATACACATAAAATGTGTCCAAAATAAGAGCAATTAGTTTTCAACATTGCTAAGAACAACTCTAAAGCTTAAAAATGGGAAGTTCTATCTACAAAATAAAACTGACCAGACCAGAAAAGTCTATTCTCTGCCCGTATTTTCCAATACGTGAAAGTGTCTCTACACAATAGCTTGGCTCCCACCCACCTAGTTACGTCATCATTGGTTTGGACATAAGTCTTGTATGCTTTCTGGGGTCATGCTGAATGCAGCACACATTAAAACCATCCCAAGCAGCCTAGGGCCAGAGAAAATCTTCCAGCATAACGAATACATCACAAAATGCTGGGCCACACAGCATCATTAATCTTTCTCCCCAGTTTCCTAATTTCATATGCAATGAATACTTAATTCCTATTCCATAGGTGATGGGAACAGAACACCCTGTCTTAGGGAACTCCATTTTTAAATTAAACCCACAACCATGCAGTGCCAAAGTAAAACAGGAAGAACAGTGGAGTCTCCACTGTTCCCGATTTGTCACCCTTCCACTTAAATTGTACATAGCCGCTGAGGACAGGAATTATGTCCTGTCTTTTCACGGCTTATCCCCACTCCTGGTTTAGCAGTGGTGGTTAATAGATACCAAATAGGCATGCACTGACCGATATCTGTTATACAGATCCGCGACTCTTAGAATGTGTTAACTCATTGTAGTGGGTTGAATAATGTCCCCCCAAATTCATACCCACCCAGAACCTCAGAATATGATTTTATTTGGAAAAAAAGGACTTTAAGAGGGAAAAGTTAAGACACAGAGATACAGAGAGAAGAAGGTCATGTGAAAATGGAGGCAGAGACTGAAGCGAGACCAAGCAACACTGGTGACCACCAGGACCTAGGAGAGGTGTGGACCAGATACTCCCCAGGACCTCTGGAAGGAACCCATCCTGCCAGCAAACACAAGGAGATGGAGCAGACCGGAGGGATCTGCACCCACAGCCTTCAGAGAGAGGCTGGCCCTGTGACACCTTGGTTTCCAGCCTCCAAGACTGTGAGAGGATAAATTTCTGTTATTTCCAGCCATGCAGTTTGTGGTACTTGTTACTGCAGCCCTAAGAAACTAATACACTCAAGGAAAATGAGATAAATGTGGCCTGTGAGTTCTGTCAATTACCAACCATTCCAATATGATAGACGACTTCACGTCTTTTTTTCTCCTTCTGTTCTGAAGATAAGCATTTCTGTAATTTTATTTAAATAGGGCTTATCTGATGTTTTGGGACTTCATAAACTTCATATAATTAATACATTCACCTGTAAATATGAGTGTTTTCACTTCTACAGTGTTATCATTTCTTTCCTGGTCCTAGAAAATTCTCAAAAAAAAAAAAAAAGGACAGCCTGTCTTGTGCTGACACAAAGGACTACCAGAAAATCCAGCTGTCCTTGTAACCCTCACCCCACATGCCCTGGAACACAGAATTAACTTGCTCTAATTCACACATTCCCTGGGAGTCTGAAGGCTCCCTCGGTCAGCGTTTGCTGTGTCCTAAGCAGAGATAATCTGGTTGTGTTAACAGTGCATTTGGAGTCACCTGCAACCTCCATACGTGCACCAGTCATCAATTCCTGACAAACCTAACTCTGAAACATCTCTGAATTTACCCCTTCCCATCCTGGCCTGACTGCCACCATCTTAATTTGTGCTCTCAGCATCTCTCCCTGTCACTGTCCAAACCGCTACAGCTAGGAATAGGCCACCCTTCTCCTTTCGAAGCTCACGGCACCATAGCAAGCTCCTGGCATAGCCTGTGAGGCCGGTCACCACTGGTGACAGGCACTCCATCAGTCTCCTTACCTGGGTAGTCCAGTGATAACAATGAATGTTCGGTCCTTGAACCCTCAGAAGTGATTCCCACTTCTGAGAATGACACTCTACTTTGGAGAAATCGCTGCCACCCTTCCCTTCTGTCTGGCCCATTTCTTTTCCTTCTTCGTTCATGCCTGGTTCTCACCCCTGGGAAGCTTTTCCTGACTACCCCATGGATTCATGACTCCTCACACCTCTTTATTTTGATTTTTTTGCTATTTCTAAATCTTGTAAATAATTTTATTATTTCAGTCATCAGTGTGAGCTGTGAGAGGATTAAAATATCTTTATCCCTTACTAGGTTGTGAGCTTTTCAAAGTCAAGAACTGTATCTTTCTTTCTTAGTGGCCTCCGTGTCTCTCCTGGGGGTTGGCTACATGGCTGGTGCTCAGAAAACAGCTTAAGCATTGTCAATGCTATCATAACAGTAAGTCAGATAAAGGTGCTCAAAAGTAAAGTGCATCACTGCACACTAGCTTTTACTCAATATCTAGTTCATCCACCAACGAGCCTAAAAGTGAACCAAACAGAAAAGTCTATAGAACTAATCTCTTACACTCAGAAAACTGAGTGACATCACGAACGCATGCCTGGCATCAAGATTTTGATGCAGTGGTATGTTTTCCAAGGACAAGAGTTTCCCTATTGATTATTTTTATTTACAATTGTTTTCAAGTTCTCAGCTGCCAAACCCACTTGGAGGACAGTTACCTTCTGGTAAGAACGCCGTGACGAGACACGCCACTCCTGCCACTATGTTGCTGGCCGCAAAGGGAAGGCGGCGTCCAAAACGCTCAATGGTCAGTAAGATCAACAGGGCTCCTGGCAGCTCCACGACTCCCGAGATAAAAAAGTCGATATAAAGGTTACCTCCTACGATCCCCAAGCGCATGACGAGTCCTTGATAGACCACTGCACTGGTGAACCTGGAGCAACAATGAAAGACAAGGGAGAGGAAGTAAGAGATGACGTCAACCTGGCCAGAAGGAAGGCTGCAGTGGAAATTTGACACAAGCTTTTGAATCCATCACAAGTCAAACTTACCAAGCAAACATAAGTATAAGTGTGCACTTCCTCATTTGGGGAGTTCTCACCAGATCTAAAAAGGATGGATTACTAACTTCCTCATCTGTAACAGTGATCTATACAAGAGAAGCAGATTTCAGTAGCAATATACAGCAAGAAACACCTGCATATTATAGATTTGTCATTGACCAGATTCCAAGCTACCGAATCAAATTATCTTACTGAACTGACCCGGGTCTCTCACTATGACATCTCAAAACCTGAGGATGAAAAGGGTGATCCTCTAGCCTTTTTAATAAGTCAAATTCACAGAGATGGGGGGGGGGGGTTCCTGCCCTGAGAATCTCGTCCTAGGCTAATATCAGCAGTACTGCGTCCTAAACTGCTCTGAGTAAACAAGGAAGAAAGGTGTGCTCTAAAGTCAGGTACATTTGTGCATTTATTAAGCTGGAGAAAACTAGCGTACAAGTGGCAAAAGCGGGTAGGATCCAAATAAGTGTTTCTTAGTCTATTAAATCCTCAAACCTTATGTTGAGAAATGAAATAACGTTAAGTTCAAGAGCAAGCATGGCACCAAAGGTTTCATTTTGCTTCTGTCCGTCTAGCACGGTTTTTGATCCAGGAAAATTCGGCTCATCACTTTTTGGCCACCCAAGAAGTTGGTCTTTTCCTTAATTCAATTAAACCAAGGTTGCTGCTTGCCTCCTGTGTGTAAAGCATGATAAAGGAAATAATGCCGAACAATACACCCTCCATAACCACAGCTCCTTCCAAAGTAAGCGTAACACAATTCCCTGAGTGACGACGGTTTCACATTTCCATGTGCTTGGACATTCTGTGACCTCTGCTCAGAGGGCCCTTAGGCCTCCTCAGTCCTGATTTCACCTCTGCTGGGAGGTCTTTCCTAACCTCAGGCTGAACTGATGACTCCAATCTGCGCCTCTACTCACCAGACCTCTGTCATTGCTACTACACAGCACGTGCCCTATGGGAGCTTTTTTCAAGGTCAGGGACCATGTTGTCCAAGCAAAGAGGCTGGTGTTCAACCAATGTTTGGTGATGACTGAAGGTTGAAACAAGAAGTCAAGTGTGCTAGCCACGTCTGTCCCCTCAGAGTGCTGCCTTCAGCCTTTGTCCTTCTATTAAGTGAGAACCCTGACTCCTAAAGATAAGACCCTACTATCTGTTTCAGATCTGGCCCAAGTTGAGTGTAAACCTGGGCAAATTTTCCCAAGCCTTTGAGCCAAAAGTCTCTCTATCAGTAGTCACAGGACTCTGAGTAAATTGACACTGATAGTTACATATCAATCATCTTTTCTAAATAATATACTCACTGGGTCAACCAAAGCTTGATATCTCCTGCCTATGCCTACTCCAGGGAAAGTCACACACATGAAGGCTGCAAAATGCATGCCTTTAGATCACTTTCTTTACCAAGACACATATTTTTCACTTTTTAATATCTCTTAATTTGGGATGTGTCCTACAACTGAGCTGGTAAGAAAGAAAGACAGTTTAAATAGCATGAATTTTCTTATTTAGTGGTACATAAAGTGACAGTGTGTCTTAAAATCAATAGTGTCTTTGAGTCCATGAAATAGTTTCCATGACGATGCTTGTGGAAGACTGCTAATTGTTTCCACCATCCATTCTTTCCTTCTCCCTTTTGATAACAGAATCCACTGAATTTTAGTCAGGTACATTCTAGCCTCTCTTTCAACTCTGGGTGGCCCTATCAGTGGGATCTCAGCAATGAGGTGGGAATGGAAGCCATGCGTACAAGTTCTTGTTCCCATCCTTTAAAAGGAAATGGCTTGCTGTGCATTTACTGTCTTCCCCTTCCTGGGGATGGAAGAAGATGCTGGCAAACCAGCTTCCATCATACAACCTATTGCAGGTGATGCTGGAGAAACAAGACAAATAGAACCCGGGTTCTGGAAGGTCTCACAGAGCAGAGCTGCCCTACCTTGCTAGGCTACTGACCTCTGGATGGGCACGTTAGAGAGAAAAACACTTATCCCTTTTTTTTATCACTTCATTTTTTGGGTCTCCGTTTCAGCAACAAGTTGACCTGTACCCTACCTAACACATGGCTATTAAGATGTTCCCTGAGCTATTCTTCTAAATTTTAAGACCCCAGTGAAGGATTTTTTTTTCTTACCTTCACTTTCGCTGCTCCAAAACTAAGACAGGAATACCAAAAGTGGAAGATAAGAACTTATTATATTATGACAATATATTATTATATGGTTTGTTATCAAAATGTTTTCCATAGTTTCTATATATTGCCCATATTAAAATAGCAAACTTCTATGGAGTATGTATTTGTTAGCTTCTGGGCTCAGTGCTTTACATGGATCATTTCATCTAATTTTCATCAAAACTCTGTCAAGTTAGTATAATAGTTCCCCCTTATCTGTGGTTTCACTTGCCACGGTTTCAGTTTCTTGAATCAACCGGAGTCCGAAAATATTAAATGGAAAATTCCAAACATAAGCAACTCATAGGTATGAGATGGTGTGCCATTCTGAGCAGTGTGATGAAATCTCTTGCTGTCCCACTCTGTCCCACTCGGGGCATGAATCACCCCTTTGCCCAGTGTCTCCACACTGTAGACACTCTCTGCCCATCAGTCACTTAGTAGCCGGCTCGGTTATCAGATCGGCTGTCACGGTGTCGCAGTGCTTGCATTCAAATCACCCTTATTTTACTTACTAATGGCCCCAAAGTACAGGAGTAGTGATGCCGGTGCTTCAAATATGCCACAGAGAAGCCATAAAGTGCTTCTTCTAAGTGAAAAGGTTAAGTCCAGAACAGTAAGATATTTTGAGAGAGAGAGAGAGAGAGAGAGACAGACAGACAGAGAAAGAGAGAGAGAAAGCGCTCATTTACATAACTTTTAGTACAGCATATTATAATTGCCCTATTTTATTATTAGTTATTATTAATCTCTTAATGTGTCTAATTTATAAATTAATCTTTATGATAGGTATGAATGCATAGGACAAAACATAGTATGTATAGGTTTTGATACTATCCGCGAATTTAGGATCTTGGAACAGATAAGGGGGAACTACTGTACTTTTATTAATCCCATTTATAAATAAGAAAAATAAGGCTTAGGACATTAAATATTAAATAGCAGGAAGGTAGCCGAGTCAGGATTTGAAGTGAGCCAGTTGATGGAGATCCTATGTTCTTAATCCCCACACTTCACTGCTAAATATATAGAAAGCTGTCTTTTCTAGAAAACTTCTTTGTAGTTGATGGTCACTTCTATAGATTTTTAAAGAAGGATATCATGTACTTGACCAAAAATATAATCTTTAGTTAAAACACTGTTTTATGGAAAAGTCAGATTTGACTAAAATAATTTAGATAAATTAGATTTGGCTAAGATAATTGAGATTTTGGAAATTTGAATTTCAGGGTCAAAACCACACATAACATGAGGGCAGTTTCCCTCCATGGAAATGTCAATTATCCCAGCAACTCATTCATTTTCTTTTTTTCTTTCTTTCTCTCTTTCTCTTTCTTTCTTTCTTTCTTTCTTTCTTTCTTTCTTTCTTTCTTTCTTTCTTTCTTTCTTTCTTTAAGATATTTATGAAAATATAGCTAAAATACAACATTATACCAGTTTCAGGTGTATGTCATAGTTATTCAACATTTATATACCTAAAGAAGTGATCACCATAAGTCCAGCAACCATCTGACACTGTATCACATTATCACAATATTCTTGACTCTATTCTGTATGCTGTACCTTACATCCCCATGACTTATTTGTTTTATACCTGGATATTTGAACCTCTTATTCCCCTTCCCCTTCCTCCCTCCCTTTTTAATTTTTGACATTCAATATTATTCTATATTAATTTCAGGTGTATAGTACAGTGGTTAGACATTTATATAATTTAAGAATGATCCCCCTGACTAGTCTAGTACCCACCTGGCACGATACATAGTTATTATCCTATTATTGACTATATTCCCTGTACTTTACATCCCCATGACTATTTTGTAACTACCAATTTGTACTTCTTAATCCCTTCACCTTTGTCACCCTGCCCCCAACCCTCCTCCCATCTATCACCTCTGTTAGATCTAGTACCCATCTGACACCATACACAGTTATTACCATATTGTTGACTGTATTCCTTATGTTACACCCTACATCCCCATGACTACTGTGTAACAACCAGGTTGTACTTCTTAATCCCTTCCCCTTTTTCACCCACCCACAAACGCCCTCCCATCTGTAAACCATCAAAATGTTCTCTGTATCTATGAGTTTGTTTCTGTTTTGTTTGTTTGTTTGTTTTGTTCTTTAGATTTCACACATAAGTGAAATCACATTGCATCTGTCTTTCTCTGTCTGACATAGTCCACTCAGCACAATACCCTCCAGGTCCATCCATGCTGCCACAGATGGCAAGAACCCGTTCCCTTCCATGGCTGAGCAATATTCATACACACACACACACACACACACACACACACACCTCCTCTTTATTCATTCATCCATTGACAGACACCCACGCTGCCTCCACATGGGGGCCATTGTAAACAATGCTGCAATGGACATATGGATGCACATGTGCCCTTGAAGTAGCGTTTTGGGTTTCTTAGGATAAATACCCAGAAATGGGATTACTGAGTCCTTCTTTGTCTCTTGTTATAACCTACCTTTGTTTTAAAGTCTGTTTCGTCTGGTATAAGTATTGCTACCCCATTTTTTTTTCATGACATATCCTTCCCATCCCTTTACTTTCTGTCTATTTCTTTCAGTCTGAAACGAGACTCTTGTAGGCAGCATATGTAAGGGTCTTGTTTCCTTATCCATTCAGCCACCCTATGTTTTGACTGGAGCATTTAATCCTTTTGCATTGAAAGCAATTGTTGATAGATATGTAGTTATTGCCATTTTATTATTTATTTATTTATTTATTTATTTATTTATTAAAGAAGTCCCTCTGAGATTCCTTGTAATACTGGTTGGGTGTTGATGAACTCCTTCAGCTTTTTCTTGTCTGGGAAGCTCTTTGTCCTTCGATTCTAAATGACAGCCTTGCTCGGTAGAGTAATCTTGGTTTTAGGTCCTTGCTTTTCCTCATTT